TGCGGCAGCAAATAGAACATAGCAGTGTATGTAAACATTATCAATTCTGGAAATATCAAAGCCAATAATAAACAATATTATATTCAATATATTATATATTATATTATATTCATTCTACAACTTAAAATAACATTTTAAATAGTAAATATCAAAGTAAATTTTATATAATATAAGATATAGCTATCTATATCTATAGATATTTAATAGAACATAGAATGTGTAAACATATATCAAATCTCCATTTAAATCCAATGTAATAACATTTTTTGTAAAAAGTATCAATGCCATTTTTGTGTAATTTAAAAGAATCAGAGATAGCAAAGAGAGCATAAGTAGGGTAAACATATTTCAAATCTATATTATGGTTATTATCATTATTATTTAGAATCTAATATTAATATTGTAATATACCATAGAATCATTTTATATTATTTAATATCTTTTAAAATAGGTGGTAGCAAATAAAACATAGTAGTGTAAACATATTTCAGATGAATAATTTACAATAAAATTTAATATTTTACATTTGCGGCAGCAAATAGAACATAGTAGTGTATGTATACATATAGCAATTCTGGAACTTAAAACAATATTATATTCATTCTACAACCTAAAATAACATTTTAAATAGTAAATATCAAAGTAAATTTTATATAATATAAGATATAGAGGTAGCTAATAGAACATAGTAGTGTAAACATATATCAAATCTCTATTTAAATCCAATGTAATAAAACATTTTAAAAGAATCAGAGATAGCAAAGAGAGCATACATAGTAGGTTAAACATATTTCAAATTTATATTATGGTTATCATCATTATTATTTAGGATATAATATTAATATTGTAATATACCATAGAATCATTTTATATTATCTAATATCTTTTAAAATAGGTGGTAGCAAATAAAACATAGTAGTGTAAACATATTTCAGATGAATAATTTACAACAAAATTTAATATTTTACATTTGCGGCAGCAAATAGAACATAGTAGTGTATGTAAACATATAGCAATTCTGGAACTTAAAACTATATTATATTCATTCTACAACTTAAAATAACATTTTAAATAGTAAATATCAAAGTAAATTTTATATAATATAAGATATAGAGATAGCTAATAGAACATAGTAGTGTAAACATATATCAAATCTCTATGTAAATCCAATGTAATAACATTTTAAAAGAATCAGAGATAACAAAGAGAGCATGTTAGGGTAAACATATTTCAAATCTATATTTTGGTTATTATCATTATTATTTAAGATCTAATATTAATATTGTAATATACCATAGAATCATTTTATATTATCTAATATCTTTTAAAATAAGTGGTAGCAAATAAAATATAGTAGTGTAAACATATTTCAGATGAATAATTTACAATAAAATTTAATATTTTACATTTGCGGCAGCAAATAGAACATCGTAGTGTATGTAAACATATATCAAAAATCTGGATTTGAGAACAATATTATATTCATTCTACAACTTAAAATAACATTTTAAATAGTAAATATCGAAGCAAATTTCGTATAATTTTAAAAAATTTAGAGAAAAAATAGAGCTTAGTAGTGTAAACATATATCAATTCTCCATTCAAATCCAATATAATAACATTTTATGTAAAAACTTTCAATGTCATTTTTGTGTAATTTAAAAGAATCAGAGATAGCAAAGAGAGCATAAGTAGGGTAAATATATTTCAAATCTATATTATGGTTATTATCATTATTATTTAGAATCTAATATTAATATTGTAATATACCATAGAATCATTTTATATTATCTAATAATATGAAATATATTTTTTAACCGATCATAGATTTGCAATTGTAATATACAATAAAATTTATTATAAGATCTGCGGTCACAAATAGAACATAGTAGGGTAGAGCGGGGCTAGTTGAGCATAGGGGCAAGTTGAGCAATCGAAATATCTCGAAAACTATTTACCGTCCGTTTAGGCATCATATGGCGGAAATATAGAGATTTGGAAGAAATAAATATCCCGCGATCGCTAGTGGCCGCTGGACAAATGAGTGAGGCTCACGGGCGTTTTGTTTATTTTGAGACCAAAAAGTAAAAACGTAATTCATCACGAGTTTTCGTCTGGTTTAGTCAAATGTTATTTATTTTTAATTAGGTAAATGTTATTCTTCAATATAATTATAGTACTTTTAATATGCACAGAGATTCTGGCTATAATTCTTGCGGTTTTTTTATAAATTCACTTTTATTTTGAAATTCCGAGTTGGGGTTAGTTGAGCATAGTTGCTAAACTTGTTCTGTGACTAAGACAACTATCATTAACTTCCAGAAATTGATTATTATTTTTAAGATTTAAGCTAAGTCTATGAGTAATAATATAAAGAAATAATGATTTTAAACAAAAATAATGAATATAATGGTAAAATAATTCCTAAGATACGATATTGTTCTGTTGATTCTACTATTCGTTAATTATTCGAAGCATATTACTATAAGTATTGTTTTCTCTGTCAATAAAAGACTATAAATTAGTGATGTGCCAAGTCGAATCAAGTGATTCGAATCATTCGAATCAAGCCTTTAACGACTTGATTCGAATCAGATTTTACTTGATTCGAATCAACTCGTATCAAGCCGCGAAATATTTACTGTGATAAAACATGTGTGAACACAATTTTCATAAATATAAAAAAAATGTTTTAATTTAATTCAATATTATAACAATATAAATAATAATAATAATAAATATAAAAAATAATAATAATAAATATAAAAAATAAATCTTGAATTAAATCATGCGAGTCACCCGCCTTTAATACGCTTAAATGTATCACCCGACTCCAATTTATATGACTTTAACCGCATTCAAGTCGATATGAATTGATTCGAGTTCCTATGACTCAAACCGACTTATCCCGACTTCAAGTCGTTATGAATTAATTCGAGTTCCTATGACTCAAACCGACTTATCCCGACTTCAAGTCGTTATGAATTGATTCGAGTTCCTATGACTCAAACCGACTTATCCCGACTTCAAGTCGTTATGAATTGATTCGAGTTCCTATGACTCAAACCGACTTATCCCGACTTCAAGTCGGTATGAATTTATCCGAGTTCTACTCAAACTGAATCATACCGACTTGAGTTCGAAACATGTGTCCGTGTTTAGCGTATCGACTTATGGAGATGCAGTGCATGGGTCTTGAGTGTTTGTTTATTTTTGACTAAGCGCTGAGAGCAAATTTGTTCATGAAATATCAAAAACTCATTTAGATAATAAATACGCGATTTAGATTTTAATTATTATCAAAATAAACTACACAACGAGTTTTATACACATACAAAATTATTATATTTTAATTATGCAAGTAATGGCAAATTCACACAAATGAAATAATATCAATCTTTACAGTAGTGGATTGAATTTTAAGTCATTCGTAAGACGTTAGATTCAGCTCCCTGTTTAGATTAGATCTAAACAATCAATAATATACACATGCATTCGTTCAACGTAAGATTAAGAATATTGTTTTATATGCTTTAGTGATAGAGAAGTGTTTGGTTATATTTTACTGTAAATTCACTTGAAAGATTAGTTATATTTGTAGCTAGTTTATTATTATATATATAGTACAAATGTATTCATCTCTGCACTTTTTGGAATTAATTGCTTACTAAATTAATTATTTCACTTATAAAATTATTAAAATGATATTATTTCTTCTCTTAAATTATAATTGTTCATATATGAACTTGATTCGAATTGATTCGAATCATGATTCGAATCAGGTTTTTTTCTAATTCGAATCACTCGAATCAGGAAATTTTCGAGTCGGCACATCACTACTATAAATATAGAACTGGTTATTAAAAACTTATTTTATTTCATCACTAAACGACATTGAACCTATGATTTCATTATACTTTCTTGGTGCTCAACTTGCCTCACCTATGGGGTACATTGAGCATACTTGACTTTTTGCATTCAAACAGCTGTAGCTTTTAAATTTTACTTATTACCAAAAAATAGTACTAACACTTTTGTTAAGCGATAAACAACAAATCCATTAAGCCGTATAACAATTTATTGAGACTTTTCATTGAGGTGCTACATCCGTTTAAGTAAAAATTTGCTCAACTAGCCCCGCCCTACCCTAGTGTTAATTACTATGTGAAGAGTATCATCATTAATTAGATTTTATAGTAGAAACCTTACTATTTAAGTTTTAGTTGTTATATACAATTAAATTTAATTTTATTTAAAAACATAGCAGTGTAAAAAAATTATATATCGATTCAATTTCGTTATTCTACAACTTAAAAGAACAGTTTAGGTAATTGTAGTGTATGTTAACATATATCACATCTGGATCCGAGAGACCAATATTATATTCATTCTACAACTTAAAATAAAATTTTATATAGTAAATATCAAAGTAAATTTTATATAATATAAGATGTAGAGATAGCTGATAGAACATTATCAATGCTAATTTTGTGAAAATTAAAAGAATCAGAGATAGCAAAGAGAACATAGTAGGGGTGGTATTAAATAAAATATAGTAGTGTATCTAGTATATTTTAGATGAATAATTTAAAATCCCAATTTTTACTAGACTTGGAGAAGTAATATACAAAAAACATTTTATATAGTTTAATTTTAAGCACTAACACAATGTCGAGAATTATTAAAAGCGGGAAACAAATATTTGTCGAAGAATATTTTAAATTGTCAAAGAAAAGCGCCATGGGATCTAAGCCATCAACTCTCCTGAGAAAAAAATAGAAATAACTTAATCATTATTTATCAGTAATTATTCAATAATAAAATATTGTGAATTTTATATAGAAAGGATTCCAACATGACAATGTAGTATACAATGTCCCTTCTCGGCGGACTATTGTAAATTCATTAAATTTACTAAATGTCCTTTACTGGACAGTTGTAAATAAAAGTTAATAAAAAAAAATGTCATTTTTGTTTATAATAGTTTGATTATTTTTCAGGGCGTATACTGTTCGGGCTTCTTCGAACTTCAAATTTTAGAAATAGCGAATCACCGAGGCGGTCGTGCAAACGGCGAATGTTGCGGGACTCCGTCGACGTCCCATCACTCGGCCGCGATAATAGGCGGCGTGCCTCTGACGACATGCCGAACGCCGAGACCTTGCGCGACGATGTTCCGCCTGTGCCTCAAAGAGTTCCAGCGGCCGATGATTTCGGCTCCTGCGGGGAGCGGAGGTCTGTTGTCGGCCACGACTGCCCCTGCCGGCGGTTGCTCGTTCGGGAACGCGAGCACCCCGGTTGTCGGAGGGACGAGCTTTGCGGTACCCGAACCTTATACAGCAGCTATGGTCTTGCCATTCTCGTTTCGATGGACGGTAAGTGATAATAATCAGATGATTTTTTTTTTTTTAAATATACATTTTAGGGGACGTCCATTAATCACGTGAGGTTTTTAGGGGGAGGGGGGGTTTGACAAAAAATCACGAAATATCACGTGAGGGAGGGAAGGGTATAGCAAGATATCACGTGCGTTTATTTTTTTTACTATTTTCTATAAAAAAGTTCAAACATTTTTTAAAAAAAATTAAAAATTATACAGTTTTTTCATGTAACTAAAAATATACGTGATGTTTGGTGGGGGAGGGGGGTAATTTTGAATATCACCAAGGGGAAGGGGGGGGGGTTTAAAAATCCTTAAAAACTCGCTCACGTGATTAATGGACGCCCCCTTATGTTATTTTATTATGATTTTTTCTATAATCCGATCAAATCCTTGTTGGTATGATTGTTACATATTGTATTAAATGTCAAATGTATTCCACTCGGGTGAGAAATAGTGATTTTAAAAAGAACTAAATGTAGCAAAAATAAAACATGTACATTATATTATATAATTGTGTAGAAAATGTTACCTATAATTTAAATCATTAAATAATATCAAGGACCTACGTACATATGTTATTTTCAAAATATACCTTTTATTTTATTTTATTATGATTTTCTCTATAATCTAGAGTGTCCGGTTAAATCCTTGTCGATATTATGGTTACATATTGCATTAAATTTTAAACATATTCCACTCGGATGAGAAACATTGATTTTAAAAAGAAGTAAATGTAGCAAAAATAAAACATGTACATTATATTATATAACTGTGTAAAAAATGTTACCGATAATTTAAATCATTAAATAATATCAAGGACCTACGTACATAATATATGTAACCGTGTCAGTATTTTCTTATAGCAGATGCTTAATATTTCACAAAATAATTTATTAAGTTTCTTAAAAAAATGATTGAATGGTTTTTATGATATTTAATATGCACTAAACAAGTCTTACGAAAATCGGCTAAGTTATATAAATTAATTAAAATTTGAATAATAATCTACAATTTTGGACATACAAACACGTACACTATAGTTAAGATAATTTAAATGTATTTGAGAGATCAATTGCAAATCGTAATGTTTAGAAAATGCTTGTTGGTGCTATTGTTAAATATTTTATTCAGTTTCAAACACGTAAAAAATTCAAGAGAGGAATATTCATTTCATCATAAAGTAGTGAATGTAGCAGAAATAAAACATGTTTATCAAAAAAATACTTAAGAATCTTAACAGCAGTACGCTCAATTATAATTCCCAAGATTCGACAATGACATACAAATAACGTTAAAAAATACATAGAAGAATATAAATGCGAATCAACAAAAAAATTCAAATAAAATATGCAAATGAACAATTTCTTTCTAACACTATTCTTCCCTGAGTTTGAGTTTAACCTAGCTCACGGGCCTGCTCTAGGGTAAACAGTGACGATGTAGTTACGGATACACATGCAAAAAATAAATTGATTTGAACTCAAATAAATGAATATAGACTTGAAAATTATACTTAAAAAGATGTAAGTGGCAAAATGTAATAATTTTGTTATTTTTATTAAAAAGCTCACATTTGTTATTTTCATTAAAAAGTTCACATATATCATTTTATAAATTATTGTTATTACAATCAAATGTTCATTAAGAATTTTTTTTTAGAAATAATTAGGAAGACATGTTAAGGATTGCTAAGTTTTAAGACGTTTTTGGCAAAATCTATGTATAATAAACATATAAATTAGGCCAATATTGGGTTGAAAATTAATGTAAAGAGCTGTATAAATGGCCTCAAGTATTTTTCGTGGTATTGTAGATTTGTATTTTGTTATTTTTCTTATCACATCATAATTATATAAAGGTGAAAATAAGTTTCAATCATTTTGTTGATTTAAAAAATGTATTATATAACTTGCGGTTCAAGAGAGGAGCACGTTTATAGTTTGCGGTTTCTTCAGTCCTCCTTTAACCGCAATTGTACTCCAATACGGCTACTGGTGTTTTACCATACATCTTATGAAATTCGTATTCATTCAAAAATTTTATAAAATATAAATTTTTCACAAAACAATATTCAGGAATATTTTCAGCGCTTTAATATGAATAGAAGTGCAATGAGAAATCAATTCTTTTTCAATGAAGAACAAACACATACTTTATTTTTGCATTGACGTTACGATAATACAAATGTTATTAATTAAAGGGTTTTTTTCACGAATTCTTTTAATTAAAAATGTAAGTTCCGGTCAAAAAAATGTAGGCAGATAAATTATTTAGTAAAAAATTATACGGTTAATATTTCAAGATAATATTCATTTAATTATAAACACATGTATTTTCATTCAAATCTTTTATTTTTCAATTCAATAGCAATGAATCCAATTTTGAAATATTTGATAACAAATTGTTGTAATTGTAATTATACAGTAGACATACAGTTATTTATAATAAAATAACTTAACACTTTTTTAATTAATTTAATACGTTTAAAAAATCAAAACGAACAAAGGATATAAATTCAATATGAAAATATTAATAGATAATTGTTAGTCATAAAATATATATAAATTGTATATATTTAAAGAGATAACTTATTATTTTGAATCATTAAGAAATAAAATCACATCAATTATTATTTATAAAATTTCATATTTTAATAATAGATAAAATTTGCAAATAAAAATTATGTAGCTCCAGTCGAATGCATTCTAAGTAATTTATAGATCTTTTAATAACAAGTACAGTTTTTAATAATATGATAATCATACGTGAAAATTATATCGCCTATTTACAAAGAAACTATAATAGACAACTGCAAAATGATATAAAAATAAAATAATCACAGAAAAAGCATATAATTTGTCAAAATAGGTTAAAATAATAGCAAAGTTATTTATAAATATAAATTTGTTTTTTTAACACTAAAATAATAATAGTTAATGCAGATATTAAATCACTTCAAGTTATGTTTTCAATTCATTTTGGCTGAAGATTCAAATGGACAAACATTTTTATTAGGCAAAAATGAAAAATTTGTAACCAACTTGCGAAATTTATCCAAAGAAAATGTACTTGGGGCCAGAAATCTTACAATCAAAATAATATACTTTAAATCAAAATAACATTTAGCAGATATTAGAATATAAGCATATATATTTAATTTGTTTCACTTTCAGTAAATACAACATTTTTATAAAATACATAAGTATATAGAGAAAAGATTTCACACGAAGATTTTAAATTTAAACATAACATGACCTCAAATGATCGTGATTTGTAAATTCATATAGTAATATACATAGCATTCATATAGCAAATATATAGTAAATTCATGAAAATAATATATAATAACTTTATTAAAAACTAAGCGAACATTAATCAAACTTTAACTTGAAAAAGCTAGCATATAAAAATATAGAGGAATATCATATAGGAGTATAAGTTCAACATGAAATAAATTAATAAAAATTATAGCCTTGTATTTCAAACATTATAATAATTCTTTTTGTAGCAGTTAGGGACATTCATATAACATTAATACTTAAAATGAATTCGTAATGTTCAAAGAATAAATCTGTTAATAATAATGATAATACATTTGCTCTCGCTTAGGGTAAGACATAAAATTACACAGGTTATAGATAAAATTGTTTTCGCACAAATAAATCACAAAATCATATAACTAGAAAAATATTTATATACATATATCAAATGAAATCAAAGTCCCAAATAAAATTGTGGGAGATTTCTCATTGTCATTTCATAAATGCTAGAATCTTTTTAATCAAAACATATATTCTTCATAAGAGTGTTATGGGAGGTTTTAAATATATCAGACATAAAAATACATAGGGCATAGATAAAATAATTTTTGCATACACAAATAAAAAAATGACTTAAATGCAAAAGTATTCATATACATATATCAAAATTAAAGTGCCCTAGAGCAGGCCCTTGAGCTAAGTTAAATTTCAACTCGACTTAGGGAAGAATATTGTGGGAGGTTTCCCATTGCCCGAAATGGGCACTTTCCATTAGAAAACATACTCCCCATAAGAGTGTTATGGGGGATTAAATATTTTAGGCATAAAAATACACAATATAACATAACATGATATACATTTTTATAAAATATTCATATAAATATAGGACTTGTGATATTTTGTGAAAAATTTAAGTATCCTAGGGCAGGCCCTCGAGCTGAGTTAAATTTCAACTCGACTTAGGAAAGAATATTGTGGGAGATTTCCCATTGCCCGAAATGAACACTTTCCAATAGAAAATATACTCCCCATAAGAGTGTTACGGGGGTTAAATAAGTTAGACATAAAAATACACAATATAACATAACATGATATACATTTTTATAAAATATTCATATAAATATAGGACTTGTGATATTTTGTGAAAAATTTAAGTGAGTTGCAGAATTCAACAGGAAATATTTTCAAAAGACATTATTTTCTGCTTTGATAATAGATATGTGAGGTATACAAAATTGTTTTGAATTATATATACCAAAATCATATGATAAATTAAAATATAGTTAAAATGCAAAATTGGTTCAATCTTGATATCGTGATCGAAGAAAACGATCGTTTTGCTTTGATAAGCTGGACTTTGCTAATGCACCTAGGCTTTTGGATCCTAGGTTAAATTTTAATTATTGCATTGCTGCGTTCATTTTATATATATTTTGCTTCCTTATTTTTATTTATTATTGAAGCATTTTATTATTGAAGATTCATAATATATTTTATCATTATCTTGCTATCCTAGGGCTGTTGAGCTCTGGGTTAAATTTTGATATTTTAAGCGCGTTTACATGATATATATAGGTATATGTTTTGTATTATTAAAACATTATTCCCTAGATTCCCAATATACTTTATAATTTTTTGCCTTGCTACGGCTGTTGGGCTCTAGGTTAAATTTTGATATTTTAAAGCGTTCACATGATATATATATAGATATATTTTTTGTATTATTAAAACA